GTAATTGCCTGGTGGGACAGGGTGGTGCTGGGATTGACTAGAAAGGGGCATGCGTGAACTTTCTGGGGGTGTGAGTAATGTTCTATGCCTTGCCGGGTTTGAGGTACACAGGTGTATGTCAAAGCTCACTAAATGATACACTTAAGATATGTAAGTATATTTTAATATATACACAAATTTTACCTTAAAAAATACCTGTAAATATCTAATTAATGATGTATATGCTAAAGTTTTAAGGGTGAGAGTGTACTAATGTCTGCAACTCACTCTGAAATGCATAAAAGAGATGGACTGATAGATGGAGAGAAGGGCGCATGGACAAACATGTATGTGATAAAACAAATATAGAATCTAGGTGATGGGTATGTATAAGCCTTCACTGTAAAATTCTTTCAATGTTCATATTTGAAAAAATTAACGGGGAATTTTATAATGAACGAATCAGGCTGACAACACCTGAAATCACTGCTCAATCTCAGTATTAGAAAAACAATCAAACATTATGTGGTGGCTCTAGATGGAAGTACACCACATCACTCTTATTACTTTTGAAAACAAAAAAACAAAAAAACTGAATCTGATCAAGTGTCTAGATCTCATAGCAATTATTAGGAAATAAGGGGATAGAGGAATATGTTAATAGTAAATAACTTATTTTTAACAACTGAGTTGCAAAGAAAAGAGAGATTTACAAGACATATCAATTTGCAGTGTATGGAGATTATTTAGATCTTGATTTGAACAAATAAAAAAATATATATATATTTATGAGACATCTGGGGAAATCTGACTACTAACTGAAAATGTGACAATGTTAAAAGTATTTTCAATTATATTGGGTATAAAAATGGTATGTAGTTATGTTTTTTTAAAAAAGTGCCCTTATCTTTTTTAAATATGTACTAAAATATTTATGGATGAGATGATGTCTGAGGTTTTCTTTAAGACAATCTGGGGTGTGGTACATATAAAATAAGACTGGTCAAGAACTGATCATTATTGAAGCTAGATGATGGGCACATGGGGATTTACTATACTATTCTTTCTACTTTTATATATTTCAGATGTTCTAAAATAAAAGGTTAAATAAAATGTTTAACAATTTGAATTTAATATTACTATTTGACAAAATAAAAATTGCAGCACAAATGACTAACAATAAATTCAACATACAACAAACTTAAAATAACTTGCCATTCAGATTTTAAAGTGAAGTTTGTTTCCAGGTATGTTTCCCTTCCAGGATCCCACTGACACATCATTTTCTTATCTTCATTCAAAATGCAACTCAAATTTTTGGGTTTTTCTGGAGGCACTAAAAGGGAACAATTAGCAATTTTCAAAAAGCTTTATATATCCACAAATAACATCCAATTTACATACTACCCAAGAGATTTACAACCTAAAATAGAAAAAAGAAACTCAAGCCAAAAGTATGGATATAATGAAAGATTGGTACCTAAAAAATTAATTTTTTATTTAAACTCAAACTTCTTTTTAGACA